CTTAATTATTTATAATTTATAATTTAATATAATTTGAATTATAAAATAAATTTTTAATAATTTCAATTATAAATCACCAAACTCTTCGTGTGTAATAGAGGAAGTGCACAAATCGAGTTACGATTATTGATTGATGAGAAAGGGACGCCCCGTTCCCCTCACGTGCTCTGCTCTTCCCCTGTGCCCTCCCCACCCTGCCACCATTTGTTTCTCCTTTCCTTTGTGTTTCTTGCATTTCATTTCCATTTCACGCACTCACTAGTCACCAATACTTTTGAATTTGATACATGGTCTATTTTATCTTATCCTCATAAATTCCCTTTACATATATCATACGTACCGATCAAGTTAACTTGAATTTCTATTCATTAAGTACAAAATTTTATACCTAGTTTCTAACGTAGTACCACTAATACTACTAAAAACTAAAGTAAGTACAAACACATTAATTAAATAGGTTTTTTAACTACCAAACTAATGCCACGTTAGCACCACAAGTTCTTGGTGAGTTTCGTAATGTATATCAAATATATTGTTTCATGTTTATTAGAATAGTTGTAATATTTTCTCTTTTTTCTAAAATTTCCCTTGATTCAAAGAAAAAAGAAAAGAAAACCAATGCTACATTAACTCTTCAAAGCCTTAATTTCTTTCTTTTGGTAATGAAAAGTCTAGTGCTAGGCAAGACTACTAATACAAGATCTATAGGTTTATTGACTTTTTATTAATGAAATCTTGGATCTTTTACTAATTGAGTAAACTCTTTATGCTACTTTTAATGAAGCCTTATAAAGCATATATAAGGGAGGCTCGTGTGCTACTTAATTATGCCTTGCTATTAGCTGTCAATGTTTTATGCTCTGAACTAATTGGTGTAGGTTCATCACCCCTAGGATGATGTTGGGATGGGACTTTACTTGCCGACTTGGGAGCATTTACACTCATAGAGCCTTGTGTCCAGTTGTGTGAAACATGTGCCAACCTATGAGGACAGAAATTCCAACGTAGGGTTGAAAAAGTCGAGGTTGACTCTAGCGTGTTGATATTGTTTGCTCTTGTGGATCGTTTTCTTGCATTTCCACATTTAAACCTTCTCTTTGCACCAAGGGGAACAAAAGGTGCACCATTGATTTTCGAACATTTGTAATAGAGAGTACTTCCTTGGTGGTACATGACCTCGATGTGTACGAATCGACGACAAACGTAATTGGTCATGGTTCTCTGTTAGAAATGTCACCGTTTGCTCAATTGCATGAACACTTCTCTCTATTTGTGGCATATTTTGGGTGAGGTGTTGAATTTGATCCTTAATTGTATTTTTGGGCCTCATTTGCTTAGGCCTCGAGGGACTTGATCTTGGGGCTCGTTGAGTAAAAGTTCATGAAGATGAAGATGAGGTTGTAGTGGAACTTGCATCATGTATTTTGTTAATTGTTAGTCATTGCTTAATTGTAATTGTTCACTATGAGCAATAATTGACCCCATGGTGGGCGCCAAATGTTAACATTGAAAAATAACTCAAATGACTCAATTGATTGGAGTCACCTCACAAGGATTTCATTAATAGTAGAAGAAGTACAAAGTTTGAGATTTAGTATCTAATCCCTTTTGTGATTCCTTGAGGTCCTTTTAACCTTTGCCTAAATATCTTCCCCAAATCCTCATCTAACCAATCTTATTTATAATTTAAATTTAAAAAAAAAAACTGTAAATAATTTCTAAAAGAGCTATTTTAATCACCTGACTTGAGTTTCTTCCAATTTTGAGTTACAATTACAACACTTTACTAGTTGAGTAAACTCTTTATGATACTTTTAATGAAGCCTTATAAAGCATATTTAAAAGTTTGAATTCAAATTCTTAACTAATAAGACATCATTTTAAAATCCAGTTGAGTAAGTCACAACGAAAATATGCATAGAATTGAACAAAAGTTATGAGTTTGGGCCACCTATGTATGGGCCCAATAACCTATTTATTATTTTGGGAAAAAAGAAAACCACAAGTCTAAGATGTGAAGTTCAAACCCAACAATCTGGGGTTGGGCCCTGAGGCCCAATTTCAGCTTCAAGTTCAAGCCCACACATCAGAAACCCTGCCTCCACTTTTGTCTCCAATTCGCCGAACTCCAACGTTCGCCGCCTGTTTTCTTCTCAGGTCTCAGCCCCGCGAAAGCATCTCATTGAATCGCTACAATTCAGTCTTTTAATCGAAACCCCAAGTCGCCGGAGAGCTTCCAGGGGCGGCTGTTGAGAGCTTTACCAGTATTCGGCGGCCTGTTTGTGGGGGACGAGGAGGAAACACACAGGTTTATTGGGATCCTCCGATTGCCGACTTGTCGGCATATATCGGTGTGCATCCCTATAGTTAAAACACTTTCCGTTCAGGTTCCTCTGAAACAGCGGAAGCAGTTGGGTTTGCGTCTGAAGTCATGGGAATGGAGTTGCCAAACCAGTTTTCTGATATGGAGGATGTTAACATCAGTGATTACGAGTTAGTGAGTCGTGTGAAGGAGGTTCTCACATCAGTTCTGAATGTAAGCAACCTCAAATTAAAGATTCTCCATAAGTTTAGCTGGGATTCTTCCTGAATTCAATTAAAGTCTTGTCCTTTTTCTTCTTAGCCATATGGGTTTCTTGACCCTAAGCTTTGATTCCGTGCTTTGTGTTGGTTTGGTGTTTCTTTTAGCAACTTGTCTAAGCCATGTTTCTTGGTGAACATATTATTGATGTTAAGTTGAAAATTTTATGTACTAGGGTGAAACCGAAAATTATAACCAGCTTGTTGGGGTTATGCACCGTTCGAGAAATCTTGGGGAGGATGAGGTTGGGTTGCTAGAGGTACTTACAAGTTACAACCCTTTATGCTATTTTGTTCTGCTGATTTTTTGGTTAGTTCACTTTTCCAAAGCTCATTTTCTTATTCACTTTGGCAGACAAGTTTAAAGGGGCTATCTGGAGCTGTTTCCTTTATAGACATTGTTCATCATGAGTCTCTTTTGTCGGCTGTAAGTTAACGTTTATGGATTTTGTCCTGTTTGTCAAATACCTTTACAAGGTCTGCTATTTCATATTGTGGTAAAATGTTTCAGATATTTAGCATGAACATGTGGAATTATGGGCCTGAGTTGATGGACGCATTGGTTGAACTGATTGTAGCGTTGGTATGTTTGCTTCTATCACCTTTAGACCTAATATTTAGGATTCATTCGTGCATGATTATACTTAGTTATATAGTCACTGTATTGCAGGCTATTTCAAATGGAAAATTTGTTGATTCGTGTTTGGGAATGCTTGTCAGCAATTTTATACCACCATCTTATTTCCTAGATAGATTGAAGCAGCCACGTGGTCTTGAGAGAAAGTACCAGGTTACTTCTCGAGTCCATGCAGCTTTGGAAGAGATAACCAAATCTGTTCCTCTTGCCCCCTTAAGATTATTGCCAATAGTTCTGCAGCGAATGCCAACAATCCATAAGAAGGATCATGTGAGTTGAGTTTTAACAAGCCAATTTTGATTCTTTGCTTTTTAGTTTTCTTTTTTCCTTTTTTTTTTTTCTTTAAAATGTAAGTGCAGATTATGCTGGCCAATTAACCAGGATGAATTCAATGATAACATGAGTTGAGGTGGCCTGCTATTTGGTTTCTTTTTTCTTGAATATTTGCTGTCTTTTGCTACCCAATTTGCTAGACTGATAAGAGAAAATATTGCTCAATAATTAGTTTTGCCTATTTATCCATTTTGTTCTTGTAGACAATGATCATTTATGCGGAGAACATGTTAAAGTTGGAGGGTAGTGTAATTGGAGAAGTTGTTGGAAGCACCCTGCTTATGGCCGTGGTTGACAGGTTGATAGATCTTGATGTAAGTATGCAAGTTGCCATTTAACTCCTTGCTTGTCTTTTTACATGATAAAAAATTGTATCGGAGTTGCTTGCAGGTGGAGATTGGATGGGATGACATTTTGCAGGAAGACTTCAGTAAATGCATGTTTGATATGGAGTTAGAAGACATGGATCAAGATGATGATTATTTTGAGGAAGATGGTCACGAGGTATAATCTATAAAATTGATCCTTTGGCTTGTTTCTAAATTCTTCTCTAGCAAGTTCAAAGCTGTAAATGATGGTAAATTTTTTTTATTTAAAATTTGAAAAAAACGAGATCTGTTATGAAAAATAAGAAGTGTTATGTGCTTGATAAGGTCATATACTATTATTCTTCTCTGATTGGGATTTCAGTTGTATATTGAAATCATGTTCCTTCAAAATTGCTTCATATTATGTTGTTTAAAGAAGTTGGTTTGTTTAATATTTTGGTATTTGTTGAAGATTGATGTTTATCATATCAGTATTATTTATTAAAATCAATACATTTCACTGACAGCTTCTATTAACTCGTAAAAGCCTGGCTGGAAATGCTATTGCTGACTTATTAGATAGCCTGATGGTTATAACTTTTAATCATCTTGAATCTTGTAAAGACACAGGGCGTTTGATTGAGGTACTTTTAAAATTTACTCTTTTTCCACTTGTTTTAGCTCCTACTGTGCTAGTTTTCCTTTAATTATCTTAATTTTATTAATTGTTGTGGTAGGTATTTGAGACACTTCTCCAGTCATTCCAATTAACCGTTCTAAATACATACAAGTCAAAATTTGCACAGGTAATGACTATTTCTCAAATAGTAATGTTCATCATGTTCTAGTAAAGGAATGTTCATTATTTTGTTTCACATACTTAGTACCATTAATGTATTTCATATTGCTATTTATTTCTTATACCATTATTGAGACATTATTTTGTGATGCTTCTGAGACTTTCTTCACATGATATTTGCAGTTTGTAATGTTCTATGCATGTGCCCTAGATCCTGAAAACTGTGGTCTGAGATTTGCCACGGTGCTGGCTGATATTTTTGTTGACAAACATCATCCTGAGCTTCACAGGTAATATGCAATTTTATCTTGAGAAACTACTCAGCTATCTATTGTTAATCCTCATGTTTTAGGCATTCTTCCATCAATTCTTCAGTTCTGATCATATCTTTTGTTTGTAGGTTATATTGAGATAGGTTTCAGTTAATATTCAGAATCCAATTGTGCCAATTACATAAGTATCCTACTCATTATGGGTTGAGGCATCATCTCTCATCCTTTTTACTGCCCCCCTTTTTTGTGTGTGATGCAGGATGAGTGCTGTGGCATATCTTTCTAGTTACCTTTCTCGCGGAAAGTTTCTGTCAGCCTCTTTTGTTGCTAGCATCCTGAGAAGGTTCTAAAGCATGTCCCTGGGTTTTTTTTTTTTTTGGATTGACTGAACTCACTTTTTGTGACTATTTACCGTGATCATATTAGATTGCTGGTTTCCATATTGAATGTGTCTTGTCTTATCTAGTTTAATGTAATTGCAGGTTGGTGGATTGGTGTTTGGAATATTGCAAAACCCAGGACAGTGATGTTAACCCAAAAGTGCATCGAGTTTTCTATTCTGGATGCCAGGTTTATTTACATGCTCTTGACTTCATGTTATCGGAAAGAAGAGATGTTAAGCATGTTCAATGCTTTTTCTATTAAAAAAAAATAAAATAAATTCAATTGAAAAGAGAGATAAATTGGTGTTCTTCATGTAACAGATTTATTTCTGTTTGCTGTTTAATTTGTTTGCTTCTATGGACTTCCCCAACACTCACCTGTTGATCTGAACTACAGGCCATTATGTACATGCTTTGCTTTCGCTTGAAGTCTTTTATGGATGTTCCTAGACTGAAGTCACAGCTTCTCCTTATGCCACTTGAGGAAATTTTTAGGCATAAATTGAGCCCATTGAAGGTAATTGCCATGTTGCTAGTTTTAAAAACTGCTATGATAGCATGAAGTGCATAAAATTGCAAGTTATTTCTGGTCATTTATACCTCTGAAATGCCTTTCAGTTTTTGGATTTACGCTCTTTATATATTTAAATGTCTCACCAGTGGGTCTTAAATCAAAATATTTTAATATGTTATTTTAGCCTCAGCACCAGTTTTCTTTTACAAGCAGGTATGTCTTCCATCTGTGGTACAAGAGTTCCTCCGACAGGCAAAAGCAGCTCATCTATTTACCATTTCCAAAACATTCGTTTTTGATGACCTGCTGGAGTCAGAATTCTCAAGGGCATTTGGTGGGCTGGAAAGGCTCGATATGTTCTTTCCATTCGATCCATGTTTGCTGAAAAAAAGTGACAGGTGTACATTCTTCTCTTAACATTGATTAGTTTAAGCATGAATTTTAATGATCTTCAAAATGACACATAGTAGTATGAAAACTAATAAGAAATGGTGAGTTGTAAGTTTATTTTGCTTCAAGAGAGTATCTGTCAACTAAATGTTGGTTGTATGATATTCAGTTGCAGCAGAGGACTTTACAAGAAAAAAAAAATACAAGTTAGGAATCTGTGGATATGCTGGGTCTAGAATTTTGAAAATGGGCGGTTGGTTTCTAAAGTCTCTTAAGCCAAGATGTGAAAAAATGTCTAGTGTGTGTATGTTTGCTGTTCTGTATTCATGTTCTTGACATGCATGCTGATAGTTTCCTTCCATTTTTTCTTATGTGAAGTATTATCCGTGAGAACTTTGTGTTCTGGTCAACCGTACGACCCAAGTATGAATATGAGGAAGGCAGCAGTGATGAAGATGATGAAGACGACATTGTTGATGAAAATGAGGAGGTTTTGGTTGATGAGATAGCACGGAGTGTTGATGGACAAGGGCTAGATCTTGATGAATTTGACTATGCACTGAACAAAATGTCCATCACACCAAAGGACACCTTCAGTTACAGGTTTGAGGGTCACTTTCAAGAACATTCGAGAATGCCTTCTAAAATTAGGCCCTCAACAAGTCCCGAGTCTTTGTGACTTGGCAAGAAATATGCTTAAGAAGCATATCTGATCTGCTGGTTTTGATGAGTTAAGTTGTCCGCATGGCCAGGTCAAAAAGGGCTAGGGTTTTGCTTTGTTTTTACAATTTGTTTTTGTGATGATGTGAGCTTATCATTTATGCTATTTCAAGTCAAACTACTGTAAAATTAAGGAGAGCTTGTAAATCTGCATTCTTTGAAGTGAACATTGACTCCTAAAGCGTTTGTGTCAGCAAAATTTATATTACTGCACTTCTTGTGCATCGTAAATGAGCTCTAGAACCATTAAACGTTTCTAATTAAGGTAAATTAAAAAATCTTGACAATTAAAATGTTGAAGAAGATAATCATAAATCCCCTGATTATTATAATACTCCTAAGTAATTAACACGTAAAGAAGACAATTAAAATATTTATATAATTTTACATAAAGTTTTAACATTTATGGGACTGAATTACTTCAATAAATTGAAAATCATCCGACCGTAAAGGCAATAAGAATTAGATTTATTTGATAGATCTAATAAGAAACGAATTGAGAAGATAAATGATTGAATACAATTACGAAAAAAAGAATTAACTCGATTTAAAAGCAACGTGTTTCATCAGATAAATAACAATGAAAAAGATGGGGACTCAGATGTGGTATTGTATATTTTGTTCAAAAGGTATAGGCCATACTCAGATTTCTGAAACAGTTGACTCCGGAAACGTGCTGTGCTGCGATAAGATTCAGTGATTCAAGTTCCTAAATTCACTCATCAGTTAATTATTTAGAAAGGCATTTATATCTGGAAAAGAAGCGAAATGGATGCACCTGGTTTCTGAAAAGGGTGCAATGAATGGCCAAAGAAAACTCAATCTGCGGCAACAGGCTCCATCTTTTTCTCTTCTGCATCAGCTATCTTGAAATGCGGCTCTGAGGGGAAGACAAACACGGTAGATGCAGCAGTAGAGGGCTGGAATACAGCTGAATATCTCACAGCGGTTAGAGAAACTCTGGGCAAGTGCTGCAAACCCGAGGCAAGTGCCACAACCTTATAATGAAGAATGTGCTCGGATTTTGGAAGAACAAAAGCAGTGTCATTATGAGACCCAGATAGCACGAAACTTTGTGCATCTACCGATGAGAACTTGACCTCTTGAAGCAGCTCTGTTTGGTTCCGAACTTTAACAGAGTATGTGAAGGGCTCTCCAAGAACAGCATAAGGAGGACACTCTAAACTCACAATTAGTGGTGACAACTCTACATTTACATCAGGAAGTTTATGTTTAGTTGAAACCCAAGAAGCCACGCTAGTTGACCCAGACTGACTTTCGACCTCCGAAAGCCGCCTCCATTTTAGATGCACTGATCCCAACTGTAGTTTTGAAGAGTCCACCTTGGGAATGATGGTGAAAACCTTCTTAAACTCTTCACCTGGCACAACAATTGCAGAGCCCAGAAGATCTCCACCTCCAAGCTGCTCAGAACATGACTTCTCAATTTTATCATCATCAACTTCAATAGACATGGAGAGTAGCTGCAATGGGACCTCACAACAGTTCTTGGCACTAACAAGAAGTATACTTGTTTCATTCAGGGGTAGTGACTCCAACTGATCAGAATCGGAAACCAAGTTGCTCCTTGAAGGCAGCAATGCATCCCTGCGAAAGGGTGCCATGAAGCGATGGCTGATTTGGACAGCAACCTTTCCTTCAATTTGTGAGCTCTTGTGGATGTTTGTTCTTGGAGCATTCAAGTCAGTGCCATCTAGGGAATAGCCCAATGATACGTACAGCATAATTGGTTTTGGTCCATGCCACTTGATTTCTAGCTTGCAGTACCATGATTTTCCAACTTCTAGGGAAGGAACAGAATACAATCCAAAAGATTGTTGAATTTTAGTAATTTTATCAGGACCAAGTTGAGATTCTTCTTCACCTTCAGGCCCAGTAATGCCAAGAAGCTCAACATTATGACTATCCAATGAAAATGGTTCAGATTCCCTGGGACTAAACAAGCCATCTCCTCTTACATCCACCAGATTGATCTTCAATTCGCCAAAATGTATTGCATGGCCCCTGGCAGTGACAGTAACTGGCACCATGAAATGCTCCCCAACTAATGCAGGGCCTGAAGCACCAAGGGTAAGATCCACTTGTGGATCTGGTTCTTCAACTTGAGCAGCCTTCTGACCAGAGAATGCCAGTGCAGGATCCTTAGTTGGAAAAGTCTCCACACGAGCTTCAAACTTCCAAAGTGGCAAATCATCCATTGAAGCAGGACTTTCAGCTCTGCAACAGATTGTGAAGTGTGGTCCCAGTTTTGCAATGACAGATACACATTCAAGCTTTCCACTTTGCTCTGAATCATTCAAATGCTGTCTTACAAACCAGTATATGGAACATAAAGAAGGAAACAACACCGCTAAAATTATAATAGAAGTGTTTCCACCACAAAAATGTGCAGGAGCAACGAGACAGGACAATTCAATAGTTTGGCCAAACTGGTCAAGTTTCCAAAGAACATTGACGAGCTATAAATTTGATGTGATTGAAGAAAAGATGACCAACAGTGGTAGACAGTAGTCCATGGACCATAAAGATACTCAGTATCAAGTATCAACACAACTCAGAAACCCTGCCCTCTCCAAATGTGTGTGTGTGCAACGACCACCCAAACAACCCAGTAAATAACTTGTGTAGAAAAATGCAGCAACATGACAGAATGATCAGCCTCACACAGGCATATGACCATATTAGTAAGGCTGTATAAAAACCTTTTAGTGTGCAAGCAAATGAAAATCTAGGATAAATCATGCATCTACTCTTGGCAAATTCAAATTCTGCCCAAGTGCCTGTTAGAAGCAATAGCTACAGCTACCAATGTGAAAATCCGTGCTTGAGATGAATTTGATGAATGAGGGGCATCACTAAAAATGCAAGCATGCAGAGAAGAATAACTGTCTTACCAGATTTTATGTCATAGGTCAAACGTAGCCACTTGTTTGTCAGAAGTGCTAGAGAAGGAGCACTCTCTAAACGGAACCCTTGCTTCTTAGTGAGCAATTCATCAGAAGGTGATCTTTGGGCATTTATTATAAAAAAGTTACACTCAGGTTGGTTAAACTGGATTTCCAAGTAATCAATCTCTATGCTGAGGGGTAATTGTGATAGAAGTGACAAAGTGATCAAGGAGGGCATGCCTGACTTAATTATCTGCTCATGAAAGGCAACTGAGGCAAGAAGTACAGACCTAAGGGGACTAACAAGATCAATCTCTAGATGAAGTGGATTTTCTTGTGTTACTTTGAGATCATTATTGGATGCTAGATTAGCTTCTTCACTGACAAGCCCAAACACTTCTTTGTGTATTGCTTCTCTCTGTGAATGACTAGCAGGACCACCTGGACCATGTTCTTTAGCTCTAAAATGCAGGGAGTCAACACCAGAAGACACTGGCAATGCAGCCATTTCAAGTGAATACTCTACAAAATCTTTCACGTCACCAAGTTTCCTTGAGCACTCTCGAAGGTAGCCCAAGACCTCCCATAACACAGAAACCCACCCTTCTTGTCTATATAGGTTGCCAACACCATCAAACAGCTGTTTTGCATTGTTGAAATCTTCAAGAGAAAAGTATTCTCTAGCAATCTCAGAGGCACAAAGAGAAGCCATCCTCCTGACTTTGAGATTGCCATATGATTCATGAGATTTTTTGAGCAAAGCAATAATTTCAAACGAATCCTGAAACCTTTTCCCTTCAGCAATAGCATAATGGGTGTACTCTTCATCAGTAAGGCTGCACAGCGAGATGAGAGAAAAATCAGAAATGAATCAGAAGAAAATTGCTATAAATCAACCAAGACATTATGGTATTTACTTTTCAAGACTTACGGTTGCATAGCTAGATCATCGCCTTGCTCAAGTAACCTAGAAAACTGACCCACATATATTGAAGGTACCGCAGGTTCAGTAACACTATCATTCTCATTCCAAGTTTCTAATATAGACAATGCAAGCTCCAAAGCACCTCTTTTCTCCTTCAAATAGCGAGCAGCTGACTGTTTCAAGATGAAATGTTGTGACTCAACTATGTTAAAACAAGTGAACAAGTTTTAAATAAGCCTCAATGTCATCAGCTTATAAATAAATAAATAAAGCAATAAATTAAATTGCACTATGGTAATCCCTATGTTTTATATGTATGATGATAAAGATTAATTAAGCCCTTAAACCAACATCCTTAAGAGAGCCAAAAAACAAAAGCCAATGTCCTTAAGCTAATAGAGAACTCCTAGATAGGGATTGGCCCTGACAATTTCTATTTATGCAAGGATTGATAGAATGGTATAGATAGCAGCTCACCTGATAGTAATAAGCTGGACGAAACTCCCATTCAGTTAAAGGTTGTTCTGCAGTGCCCAATGCTAGAGAGGGAATATTTTGAATGGTTGCTGAGCTTGTCTCCAGCAATTCAGCAAATACTAAAAACTGTCTGCTCATCCATTCCCAGTGGAGAAAAATATTTTCTGGTGATCCAACGAACCTTCTATAAGAAGCATAATGCTGGTGGAACCATTTAACTGCTTCAGTCAACTTTCCACCGAGCAATAACAAAGTGGAAATCTTGAAATGCAATTGTTCGGCAACAGTTTTTATCTCCACCATGCGTTGAATCCCTGGCAACCTTGTCAATGTTGCAACCATCTACACACAAATCAAGCACTAAGTCTAAGTGGCATAAAGTAATTATGACCACACAGAGTTGCATGAAAGTATGCTGTGTGGTCTGTATGGTAATTTTATTATATGGCTTTAAGTGTTAAACAACAGGGAAAAAAAACCATGGTCAGTTCATCTGCTGCAAAACCAGATTAGTGACAGTGAAGTAGTATGAGAAAGTACCTCACGCAGTGCATGATAGGCATCTTCATAAAACTTTAAGGCTTCAACCCAGTCCCTTCGAAACTCTGCATATACACCAACCTAGCAAATTTGAACATTTAAGTGAGCAATGAGAAATCATACAAGCTCCAAGACACAGTTGTACCAACTTCTAGATCATGAGAAAGTAACAAACACATGGTTTTCTATGAGCATCTCTTCAGGAAGTTATAGTGTTTTATGAACTCAAAATCATATACCATATTTAACCAAATACCTACGTAAAGTATGTGACAATAAACTGAAAAAGGTTTAGTTCTGATAAAATCTGTGCATTTTGTTTATAAGCTCAAAATAAACCGTTCAACCCAATAGGGAACATTATCTGCAACATCAAAATAAACACCCTATGCATTTCTTTAAATCATTTCAATAATCTATAGAATTCACAAAAGTCTTACTTTGAAACAATAGCGAACGTGCAAGTCAACAGAATTGAAAGTCTTCTTTTCAATTCGAGTTCTAATCCTTCGAGCTTCATCCCTATAATATATCGCTGCCAATTCTGCAAATGCAGCCCCCAGCCTGAAGAAATGTAAACATTCATCCACACATGAGCAATGCATTCTTCTCCAAGTACAATTCAAAACATGTAAAGGGGAAAAAGAAAAGAAAAAAGCTTGCCTGCTAAGTGACTGTTTGAGCTCAAAAGGATCATCGGGGTTGAAGAGGAGAAGATGCTTAGCATCAACTTCGGCACGCTTGCGTAAAGCAAGAAGACGATCTTCATTGATTTCATCTGCATTTGTATCACAATTCAGCAACGGAAGTTAAATTTATACACAAAAATTAAGCAACATGAAGAGAATAGGAAGAAGCGTACCTTGAGAAGAAGAGTGAACAACAACAACAACAAGTTTGATGTTCCTGGGACGAATTAGGGTTTTCAAATGGTCGAGATCGGAACAGACCTGGAGCCACTGAGCGGGGTCACCGGCGACGTGGAGAGAACTGAAGAGTGCGGCGACCACTGCAGGGATCTTTGTGCGGTGCTTTTGCATCCAATCCCTCTTCAATATTCCATTTGGAGAAGAAGAAACGGCGGGTTGCTGATTGACGGTTTTGGCGGGCAGAAGAAGCGAGATCTTGGACAAGTCCGGCAAGGCCAGGGAGTTGATGGGAGGCTGCTCCGAGTTGAGGTGAGTAGAGATGAGGATGTGTTGCTCGGGACACCCCACCAACGCCACCAGGCTCACCGGCGGCGTCCTCAATTCCTGCGGATACTCTTCCATTTTGATCGGATTCTTCTTCTTCTTCTTCTTCTTCTTCTTCTACCAATGAATCGGAATCATAACAGATCACTTCAGCAGTCCAGCCATTTCCGTCGATCGGACAAGGAATACGGATTCGGTGAAGATTGGGTTAGGCCCGTTTTGATTGGGCCGTGTTCAAATTCAACATTTGGACCCAATAAGGAAATAATAACAAGAAATACGAATGCAATGAAGACTGGGCTCGGCCCGTTTCGTAAATGAGCCATGTTAAAATTATGAAATTCAATTTTTGGCCGAACTTAACTGCAAGATTTTTCTTTGCAACTAAATAAAATTTGGAAATTTATTTAATTATTTGAATTGTATTAAACTGTAAAATAAAAATTATTGGATGAAGAGAAGGTCACTAATATCAAGCAACTCACGTTTTTTCTAACAATTAATGTAGTGTAGTTTAGTACGATCTAAATTACACCACACAGTTCTGATATAATTGTACTTATCAATAAACTGACTATATCACATTTATATAGATAAGAAAATTTTTATCCCATAGATAAAGACTTATGATCATTCATGTGTAAACTACACATTAAAGTGCAGATGAAGACAAAGAAAAATAATGTGTTTTATTCTTGGCTTTGATTATTCATTATTGTTGAGAAAGAAGAGATTGAATGACCCCTTTCCCGTTGGGATGTTCATTAAAGATCAACCACGGGTTCTACTATATTTATCATTAAATATCAAAGTTTTATTGCTACTAACATGTTAATAATGGAGTACTATTCTTCTTTTTTTTCTTTTTTTAATTTGGTGTTTTCTTTTCATTTTAAAAGTTAGATTCATTTGTAAATAAGTGTTATTTTGTAAATTAATTAAGATTTATATTTTGTAACTAATATCAAAGAAATTAATTTTTTTGAATACATTAAATACTGACAATATATACACACAAAAAAGAAGAAGAAGAGAGATTTGAATATGAAATTTAAGACTAAAATCCCTACAATACAAGTTTAAACTCTTATAAATTTGAATTTTCTTTAAGTGTGCGTGTGTGGTGTATATATATATTTTTTAAATCATGTATTTTGTGCTTCATTCGTGATATATGCACTGTATGTTATCTTGTTCTCTACATAAAATATAAAAATTAAGAATTCAACCCAAAATCTATAACAAGTTACTCAATTACCAAAATCATAGGCTAGTGGAATGCTCTTTGCATAAAATATAAAAATTAAGAATTCAACCCAAAATCTATAACAAGTTATCAATTACCAAATCATAGGCTAGTGAAATGTTCTTTGCATAAAATATAAAAATCAAGAATTCAAACTAAAAGTTATAACCAAATTACTCTACCAAATTAGATGCTAGTGACATGTTCTTTGCATAAAATATACAAATTAAGAATTCAACCTAAAATGTATAACCAAATTACTCTACCAAATCAGAAGCTAGTGACATGTTCTTTGCATAAAATATACAAATTAAGAATTCAACCTAAAATGTATAACCAAATTACTCTACCAAATCATAGGCTAGTGGTAGAGTAGGTTTCTTTTTCTTGTTTAACTGAAGTAGTTTGAATTTTATCATTGATTTAAAAATTGGGGTTGGAAAGACTCGGTTGCCCTTCCAATGCCGGCATAGCTCCACTACCGGAATTTTCTTCTTTTCAAAGGATTTTTTTCTTTTGAGAAATGATTTTTATATAATTTGTTGTCTAACTTTTTTGTATAACTTGATGTGTTATTAAAATGATTAATTTTTTAAATTCATGTGAAACCCGTGATATTAAATGCATCAACTCATTTAATGATATATACAAATTATATTAAAAAATAAGACAAAAAAATTATTCCTATAATACCACTTTTTTTTATTTTTAACAAGTAAAATTGGGAACAGAAAAATAAAATTACTGAAACTTAAATTTTAAAATTTTAAACTTTATCAAGTTTCTTAAAAAGTTGTGGTCCTGAGTCACAATCGTTGTTGGTTTTTTTCAAAAGATTGAAACTAGAAACGTCTAACTCACAATAAAATTCTAAAATCATTCGATTATTTGCAACATATACATAAAAAAAAAAAATAAAAAAGAGATAGAAAAAAAAGTAAAATTATAAATTTATAATGATAATATTATTCAATGAATAAATACATAAGATGTCATATATGATTCTCAAATAAAAACAATCAATTATATAATAACACATTATAATTGAATTTTTTTTTAACAATTGATAAAAGAGTAAATATCTTTTATTAATAGTTAAATGAATTGCAGTTTAGATAACTTGTATTTTACTATTATTTTGATAAATAACATAGTTGTTTCTTAGCCTTCTTATTAATTTCACCTTGCAACCATGCCTCGTGCATGTTGTT